CCATTTAAGTGCATCAAAAGAGCCGCATAGAAGCCACGGCCTGCTGGCTTAACACAGGTGATGCCTTCTGAAATTCTCCTTGTGGCTCTGAGAAGGGGGACACAACAGAGCCTAGAAACAGAAAGTAAATAGGGATCAAATGGCTCCCTTTCCTGGCTGTTTGGAGAACTGTTAAGTGTTTGATGAGCATTGCCACGGTCTGAGTTACAGAAGTCACTCTCACCTCCCCCTTCTCATTTTCGCTGCAATCCCTCTGGTTATTCTAATTAGGAAGGTGCTTGGACTACATATTCAGCTTCTGTTTCTCCTTCTCCAAATGTATTCTGGATGCCCACTGTTTCACTCAGTTGTCCATGCCCTGAGGATCACTCCTTCCTTCCAAACGTTGGCTTCTTCTCCATTTTGCCTCCACTCAGCCCCTCTGGTTCCCATCAATCTAATTCGTCTATGTCTCCCAAACCTTGGACTGCCCACGGCGGGAGGAATGCAAAACGCTAAGTGCTAAATGCTGTGAAACTGTTTCTCCATTGAATGTATCAGCAACCTCTCTCCGCAGAAAGATGCCATTGTCTTTCCTTTGGTCCAGACCCACCTCGTTTCTGGCTGTCCCGCCTTATTCTGATAGAGGCTGAGACACAGCTTGGTGCCGTGTAAGGAGCAGGCCTTGGTGAGACACAGCTTGGTGCCGCGTAAGGAGCAGGCCTTGGTGAGACACAGCTTGGTGCCGCGTAAGGAGCAGGCCTTGGTGTCCACAAAGCTCTGCTGCTTTAAGCCGTAAACAGCTGCTTCGGTTTAAGACACTTAACTAGTCTGGGCCTCAACGTCCCCATCTGTCAATGGAGATAATAATATACAAGGCACAAATCTGGGATATCAAATTAAAGGACCTCGGCACTGAAAAGCCCATAAATCCATCAGTTCACTGGAGCCAGGCTGGGGTTTTCAGACCTTCCTGAAGAGTCATTCCTCATCATTAGGTGGTTGTGAGGCTCAGACGTGAATACGAGTGCGACGCCTGCTGTTCAATTCCAGGCTGACAGGAGCGCCCTTCCAGCCCTCGATCATCCACGTGTCCCAGTGTCCTGTTCCTCCTGAACACCGCCAAGACCCTCTGAAAGATGCAGTTAACCCCCCAGCCTCCCTTTGAGCTGGACTCCCACCCTCCATGCCCTCTACTTACTTTACGTTGCCAGCTGACTGAGCCCTAATCACCTGTTTCATTAAAAATGGCTAAATTGATAAACGCTAATTGCTCAGAGAGAGAGAGAGAATACTTTAAAGAATGGTGTGTGCAGTAGACTCAGGGGACAAGCCACATAAAGGGGGCTTATCTTCTGTCTGGAATTTAGTGAACTCTTTCCAGATTTTAATTACATTTCTCAAAAACGAAAACAATACCCATTCTGCTAGGAGGGGTTCACCCCCGTTTTATGGAGAGCAGAGCCAGCTGTGTTAACTGGCAGAAAAACAGACAAGAGACAATCACAGCTCACGGGGAGTGGGCAGGACAGCTGCCGAGCGCTGTGCTGACGGCTCCGCGTCGCATCTTTACAACAAGCAGGGGAGGTAGTGACTGTTATCATCCTCGTTTTGCAGGTGGGGAAACTGAGGGTCAGGCAAGTTAAGCCATTTGCTCAAGGTGAGAAGGTATGGGCCCGGCGGAGCTAAAACATGAACACGGCTGTCAGATCCCAGAGATCGTGTTCCCACCCCCAGGGCATCCTACCTAAGGGAGGGAGAGAGACATACACATCCCCCAGAGTTCACCATGGCAGATGACTGCAGGGATTTGAACAGCCCCAAATCCCACCTAACTTTGTAAACAGCAGCTCTGCAAGTGTGGACCTGGACTCAAAGGACCATCATTTGAGATTTGAATGATTTGAGGTTTGAGTTCTCATTGGAAAAGTCACTCAACCTCCCTTCATCTCAGTCTACTCATCTATAAAATGGAGCTAGTTATCTTCGCTCTATGAAACTTCCAAGGTTGTTGAGCTGAAACAAGGAGGACATCAGACGTGAAGAGTCATGAGCCAGAAACCCCTCGACAAGCTTTGTCATCGAAGGTAGAGGAGTCACACTCAGCAAAGCTCTCTGTTCTCTGGGTTCAGGCAATGGGTGCAGGGAAGAAGGGTGATGCCCCTCTGGCAGCTGCGGTGCTTGAGGAATGTGGTGGCTTTTGTGCCTCCTGGTTCTGGGGGGTTCTCTCCATGAGTAGCTGGAACTGACCAAGTCCCCTGAACCTGACCGGAGAGATGCCCTTTTAGGTTCCATCAGGATGGACTCTGTGGATGCTGCCTGGTGAAACATGTCAGCATGGAACAATCTTGCTGGAATGGACCCTTCAAGGCAGCCTGGATGGCTCACCCCCATCCCTCCAACCCGACCTTTTGCTCAGGAGGTAGGGGATGCTGACAGCTCAGGTAGAGTTCTCAGCCACATCTTCCTTAAACAGGTACAATGGTGCCTGGGGATTCGTGTGCTGTGCCTTAAAGAGAGCAGGAGCGAGAACTAGGAAATGTGGCCCCACATCTGCACGTCTCATCAGGGATTCCCTACATCAGGGGTTCTCTACTCCAGTGATTCTGATCCCCAAGGGCATGTGGCCGTGTCTGGAGACATTTTAAGTCATCACAACTCGGATGTGCGTGTGAGGGTGCCACTGCCATCTAGTGGATGGAGGTCAGGGATGCAGCTGAAAACCCTGCAGGGCACAGGAAAGACCCCACCACAAAGAGTGGTCCAGCCCGGAACGTCAGTAGTGCTGGAGTTAAGAAACTTTGGTCCAGATAATATTTCAGGGTCTCCTTAACAGCGGCTGCTGTTACTCCCACTATCCTTTCCTTGTCTTTACTTAACGGCAAATGGCCCTTGGAGACGGAGGTCCTGACCTACCATGGCTACCACCGTGAGCCCCCAAATGAGAGCTATTACCAAAGAAAAAGTCATCTCTTTTGCATAGAATGATAATTGCCACCCTAGTTTAGATAAGGGTTTTAGACTCATGCTACGATAGCATACAGGCTAGTTTAACTCATACTGCACACTCCATCTACCATCTCCCTAGTCCGCCATCCCATGAATGATGGTGTTAAACTTGATCTCATGGTCAGGACAGGTAGGCTTGCAAGGGATAAAGGTCCTTTACATTCAAAGAATTTTCCTTCGCCAGTTAGAACTCTTCTCGTATACAATGAAGCAGCGCCTTTGCAAATCACAGTGTTAGTTCAAAATTATATTAAATTCAAATGAGATCCAACTCAAGCATTCATGCACTCATCAACCTGCCAAGAGAAACGTAGAGAGCACCTTTTAAGCCCAAAACCTTCTGCTCCAGCCTGGAATTCTAAATAAGAAGCGGCGCTGCAACCCACACGGCCGACCACCCCCACAGAGTGCACACTCAGATGGGAACACATACCTGCAGGGGAATAAGATGGATTTGCTGTGGAGGCTCGTGGTGGAGGCTGACAGCTCCAAACCTGCTTCCTTTCGTCTTGTGCGTGCAGCTAGACGCCATTTCTCATCTTCCCCTGCAGCTGGATGCACCTGGGTCTCTGAGTTCTGGACTGTGAGCTAGAAGTGAGGAGAGTCGCTCACAGCCTAGCCCATGAGAACCTCTCGGGCTTGGTCTCTCTCCTTTCCCATCTCCAAGCCAGAGACAGAGGATCCAGCAGCAGACTCCAAGACCCCAGGGGATGGCACAGCCATAGTGTGGAAGGGTCCCAGGATGGTGGGGGGAAAGAAAGACCACCCCTAAGCAAGAATGCCGACATTGGAGTGAGATGTCAATTTGTATTGCATTAAGCTACTGAAATATGGGGCATGATTTTCACAGCAGCTAGGGTTACTTGTCCTAACTAATAGCAGATGTGTGCCCAACCGTCCACCCAAGAGGAGCTGATTCTCCTTTGTGTCCCCATTATGATTTATAAAGACCTTTATCACAATACCTGGAAGGCCTTGCTGCACTAATTTATCTCTTTGTGTCCCTACAGTGGTCGCCACAGACTTTTTTCATGGTAGGGGCTTAGGGGTGGCCATCTTACCACCAGGGGAGACAGGAAACTTGTCTTGAAGTTATAACTGCCTAGAAAATGCACCATTTCACTCTCAACCTAAAAAATAAGAAGATACATTTTGTTGGCATTTTTTTTCAGCAAGGATTCTTCCCTAGATTCAACTAGGATGGCAAAGTCAACATTCTACCAGGGTACTTCTCCATTTTTATTCTCCTCTTAAAAAAATATAATAGGGCTTCCCTGGTGGTGCAGTGGTTGAGAATCTGCCTGCTAATGTAGGGGACACGGGTTCGAGCCCTCGTCTGGGAGGATCCCACATGCCATGGAGCAACTGGGCCCGTGAGCCACAACTACTGAGCCTGCGCATCTGGAGCCTGTGCTCCGCAGCAAGAGGCCACGATAGTGAGAGGCCCGCGCACCGCGATGAAGAGTGGCCCCCGCTTGCCACAACTAGAGAAAGCCCTAGCACAGAAACGAAGACCCAACACAGCAAAAATAAATTAATTAATTTTAAAAATATAATAAAAGACTGTAAGGCTATTTTGTTTGGAGCAGTAGAAGGTATTAGCCTACGTCCTCCCTGTAGCAATGCATGTTGCATTGAAGAATCACCCAGCTGTGCTACCTGCTTTTGAAAAGAGACCAGAGACAGCCCTAGGGATCCAGGAGCCATTGGAGGATCTGGGCGGAAGACAACGCTCAGACTCCGGGGCTGTTAAAGCCAGAAGAGGGAGGCGGGGCGGAGGCGCCGCGGCCGCTGTTATTGTTCAGCTGGGCTCCGTTGGGCGCCGTCTCCCTTGCCTCCGACGGTGTCGATTTCTCCCGCTTCCTCTCGGCACCTCACTCCCGGCGGCTGACGGCGGCGGCGGCGGCGGCGGCGGCGGCGGGCGGAGCCTGGCGTTTCGAGGCCGTGCGGCGCCGTGGTGAGGGGCGCGGCGGAACGGGAGCCTCCTGCCCTGGCGCCGAGCGGCCGCGGCCATGGCGTACGCCTGTCTGTTCAAGTACATTATCATCGGCGACACGGGCGTTGGTAAATAATGCTTATTGCTACAGTTTACAGACAAGAGGTTTCAGCCAGTGCATGACCTTACTATTGGTGTAGAGTCCGGTGCTCGAATGAAAACTATTGATGGGAAACAGATAAAACTTCAGATTTGGGATACAGCAGGTCAGGAGTCCATCACAAGGACCTCGTTCCATCACAAGGTCGTATTACAGAGATGCAGCAGGGGCTTTACTACTGTATGATATTATAAGGAGAGACACATTCAACCACTTGACAACCTGGTTAGAATATGCCCGCCAGCATTCCAATTCCAACATGGTCATTATGCTTACTGGAAATAAAAGTGATTTATGTAAGGCCAACTGGCCCGAGGCAAGGGAACGCAATCAGACTCACAGGTTGAAACTGACCTGGAGACTTTCCGGACCACCCAGTTCCAGGAACTGACCTGGGGACTTTCCACCCGGCCCAGCCTTCCCGCCTTTCGAGGGGCGGGACTAAYGGTCCCAAGACTGAYGCRMCCRRCAYCMKATATTRCMWYGATMCCMGAARAGACCACCAAATAAGGAATACCCTGCGCCCTCYCGGATTCRCCACACCCCTTTCCCTTCTTCYCCTATAAATTCTGCCCAAACCCTCRMMCGGGCGCGACTTCTCTGGCCCCTTTCTCTCGGACCAGTGAACCTCGCCCGGGAGCGTTCCCAAATAAAGCTTGTTTAAGCTCTCCTCCGTTTTTGGTGCCGTTCCTTACAATTTAGAATTTAGAAGAGAAGCTTTTGCACGAGAACATGGACTTATCTTCATGGAAACTTCTGCTAAGACTGCTTCTAATGTAGAAGAGGCATTTATTAATACAGCAAAAGAAATTTATGAAAAAATCCAAGGAGTCTTTGACATTAATAATGAGGCAAATGGCATTAAAATTGGCCTTCAGCATGCTGCTACTGACGCCACGCATGCAGCACGCAGCCAGTCAGGGAGGACAGCAGGCCGGGGGAGGCTGCTGTTGAGTCTGTTTTTACTGTCTCGCTGCCCAGAAGGGGCTACTCACCTATTCTTTCACCCACCTGCTCAGCTGAGACATGAAACTCTTCGAAATGGCTTTATGTCACAGAAGAAGACTTTAATCCTTCAAATTCTTGTGTAACTTTGAATAAGTGGTTAATGTTCACTTAAAAAGACAGATTTTGGAGATTGTATTCATACCTATTTGCATTTGATTTCTAGGTCAATTGACGTGATTATTTTTGTTCAGTGTTGTCTTGTGCCCTTACCTACGAACTGAATTGTATTGAACACTACAAAGTCATCCTGAATATTTTAAATCGGTTTGTGTAGTTAGGTTTCCCCACATCTGTGGTTACCTAATGTTTAATATTATGGAATTGTCCTCAGAAGTTTGTCAATTTTCAAGGCTATAAGGAAAACAGAAGGACTCTTTTAATTCTGTATTTATCATTTACTTTCTGTATATATAGTTTAATAACCTGCTTGGGTGTAATTTGCCAAGCTTGGATTCTTTAATGCATTTGCGTAAAGTCTATACTGTTTAGAGCTTAAAGCTACAGAAGCATCGTTAGGAATTGCTTGGACACTGAATTTTAAACTTTTTGACATTGTTAACAAGCATGTTCATCTTTTTCTTGTCACTAGTCCGAGAGAAATATGCTTCATGTACATTCTAAAGGCTATGTATGTGTTAACCTGTTTTAATGCCAAAAGTTTGCTATTTGTCCACAGTTCCTTTAAGACCTCTTCAGAAAAGGATTTATTTGCCTTAATGCATACTGTTGGGTAAAAACACAGTATAATGAGTGAGGTGGGTGGAAGAAAGAACTCCCCCCCGCCCGAGAGACTCCAGGAGGAGTGAGTGTCCACATTTAGATGGCACATTACGAGGACTTTAATCTTTCCTTGAACACAATCACGTTTTCTTTTTCTTTTATTCACATGACTTCTAAGTATATTTTTCTCACAGGACAGTTTTTCAACCTTGATGTACAGTGACTGTGTAAAATTTTTCTTTCAGTGGCAACCTATAATCTTTAAAATATGGTGAGCATCTTGTCGGTTTTGAAGGGGATATGACAATAAACCTACCAGAAGGAAAATCCTGTTAAAAGTAGAAAAGCTTTAGTAATTTGCTCAGTGTGGTGGTTTTATCCTTCTTTTTCTTTTTCTCCCTTGGACTATAATGAAGTTGTTATAGCAGTGCAAAATAAAATCCTATGTATAAAAAAAATTTTTTAAATAAAACAAGAAGAACCTTAGGAATCATCTCAGGTTGTAGATGGGAAAGCTGAGGCCCCACGAGGGGTCAGATCACCCAAGGTCATCAGCTGGGAAGCAACTGGTGTCCCAAAGTCTTCACTCTTAAGCATCTCCCACTAAGGTCCAGGTGAAAGCACCTAGGTTCTTCCTAAGGCATCCTTCCACCCTCTGTCCCCAGGATCTAGTGCAAGCAGAGTCATTCATGCTTGCTCCTCCAGAGGCCGGTGTGGGTGTCTGGGGACCTTGGCCCCAGCCTGAAGCCCTGATGTCACACTAGAAGACGACTGGGCCAAGGAGCTGAGTAAGGCTCATAGCAAACATTTTCAGGGAAAATAACCTCTGAGTCACAAGAAGGATAGCCAGATGGGTCATCTCCAGCAGCAAAGAGAGGGTCAAAGCAATGGGTCCCAGTACCCCTTGGGGTCATATTGCCTTCAGAATAACTTAGCGGATGGGGTAGATGGGGAGGAGGGGTGAGCGCAACAGAAATCTTACTCAATGAGCTGCATCTGGGCAACCTGTCCAATTCAGTCCATCTCCAATCCAATGTCCAGTCCGATGTTCATTTGTCTAGACAGGTCACACTTGCTAGAGGTTAAAAGTACAACTCTGGGGCCAGACTGCCTGGGCTTGAATCCCTGTTCTCCTGCTTACCTGTGAGACTTTGGATAATCACTTACCTCTGCTTGACTCAATTTTCTCCTCTGTAAAATGGGGACATTAATTGTACCTGCTTCATAGGGCTGCTGAGAGGATTACAGGGAGGCTGGCACCTTATAAGCACTATATAGATACTATATATATACTATACATATATATATGAGTATAAATATATATAAATGTATATATACGAGATTACTTTATAAAATACCTTGTGATTGTCCATTTCATGGTTTCACCCCAGGACTAGCCCACCTACCCTGGGGACGATGACTGTCCAGGTGGCTCTGTGCATCACGAAAACTCTCTTTTTTGACTTAAACCAAAGGGAACACAAATGTCTTCTGCTATCTGGAGTGTGACTGCTGCCGTAAGCTTGGTGGGCCACTGCCCCAAGACTGGCTTTCGGGGAAAAAGACCCAGGAGATGTGATCTAAAGGAGGATAAATATTTCCCCCTGTGTCTGGAATCAAGGGGCATTCGCTTTCAGCGTTGAGGAATCCATTCTTTTCTGTAGCCCCAAATCTTTATGGAGGGAGGAAATTATCAGAGGTAAAACTGAGTCTGTTTAGTGGTGCCTGACTCACTTGGGGACAGCACTGGAATGCCCGTGGGCCCAGGCCCTGCTGGTCACCCCTCTCCCGGAGCAGGCTGCCCACTTATAGGGCGGAAGTGGGGAAGGGGGCTACACTTCTGTCATCTGGCCGACATCCTGCAGTGACCTCACCGCTGATGCTCTGGGTGGCCAGGAGCAAGATGCTTCACCTCTTTCTGGGTTTCTCTTTCCTCTTCAGTAAATGTAAGATAATGAGTCCTGCCTTGTATTATTACCGTTGATTAAATCACAGATGCAAACACCTCTGCACAAACACCAAGAGGTATTATTCCAATCAACTCGTGGCTGATCTGCCCCTTCCCACCCACCAAACTCAGCCTCTCCTTCCTCTGATAACTCCAAAGGGGTTAAAAGATTTGCATCCTGGCTCTGCCATTTACTAGATTATGCCTTCAGACAATGCATCACTTCTCTGTGAAATGGGGCTAATAATAGTACCTCCCTGCAGAATTGCTGGTGAGAATTAAATGAACAAATCCATGGTAAAGCACTTAACTCACATCAGTACTTGCCACAAAGCAAATAGACATTGACAGAGATTAGCAGTAAGGGCACACTTAACACCTCGTGTGTAATTTGTCCCTCTCTGTGCATTCCTATGCGATTGTGGGCCCCTCAAGCACAGGGGCATGACCTTTCTATTTTAATCTATTCTCCTTTGCAGTGGGTATGGGATGCCTCCCGCATACCTCTCTCTCTAACGGAGTACAAGGCTCTCACACACCCCGCCCCCACCTCACCTCTTTTCCAGCCACTGCTGCCCTGGCCTTTTCTGCTGAGCTTTGATCAGCTTTGTACAGGGGTCGCTTGGTCTCAGCTTTTGGCCATGTGTCTCTTATGCCCTGTCCCAGGGCTTCTCTCATGGGTGTCACACTCCTGGGCACTCATCCTTGCCCAACCGGAAGTGTGGGAAGTTAACACCGACGGCCAGGTCTTGACCAATGGGATAGGGGCCGATGCCTCCCACTGCCTTCCCCCAGGAGCACAGTCCTGAGAAGCATTTCAAAAAGGGACTCAGAGTGTCCATGGGACGGAGCAGTCGCTCAGAGTGGTGGCCAGTTTAATAAGGCCTCCTTGCATTGGGTTCTCCCTTCCTGTTTCACTTCCCCAGGCCCTCCCTCCTTCTCTCTGGTACTATGTTCTCCAATAAACAGCCCCACTACAAGCCTTTCTCTCGGGTTCTGTCTGCAGGGGGCCCAGGCTAAGACATCCTCTTGCTGTGTTTCCCATCACAGGGAATGGCAACCCCATCCACACTGATTCCAGGAAAGAATCTGGGGAGAGATTCCCTACTCTTCCTCTCCCTTCTTTACTCCTCCCCCACCAAAAAACAAAACAAAACAAAACAAACCCATCCAAATGATTTCCTTTCTGTTGATTCTATTTTATTTTCTGTTGGTTTGATTTGACTTCCTGTTGATTTTATCCTCCTAATTATTGATTTTACTTTATTTCCTGCTGCTTCTTTTTTATTTCCGGTTGATTCTACTTCCTGCGAGCTTTTTCAACAGCTAGTTTCTCAGCATCTCAGCTGCCTCTGCCTTTGTATGGGCCACCACCATCCCTCCCCAGCACACAGCAGCAATCTCAATGGTCTCCCTGCTTCCAGCACTCAACAAGGCCAGAGCTCAAAGACTCTTGTATAGTTTGCTCTGTAGTTTGAACTTTACCCTTACTCTGGTGGGAGGGGTATGGTGGGAGTGGAGGGTGGTGATAAGTAGAGTCTAGAGGCAGGGAGGTAATTTAAGAGGTTCTCACAAGAACCCCAGGCAAGAGGTGGTAAAATCCCAAGAAGTGGGAGATTTGGCAATAGATGTGATTTTTGGGGGTGTGTTTTTTTTTTTTGTGTGGTATGCGGGCCTCTCACTGTTGTGGCCTCTCCCATTGTGGAGCACAGGCTCCAGACGCGCAGGCTCAGCGGCCACGGCTCACGGGCCCAGCCGCTCCGCGGCACGTGGGATCTTCCCAGACCGGGGCACAAACCCGTGTCCCCTGCATCGGCAGGCGGACTCTCAACCACCGCGCCACCAGGGAAGCCCTGCAATAGATGTTTTGAGTTCGCCCTCCACTTCTTGTTTCCTGGGAGTCCTGCAACTCATAACATTCACCTCCCAGATTTCAGTGGCAGGGAGCAGTCTCAGAATGTGAAGAATCATGCACATTTGGCATCAGGGGACTCAAGAACCCACGAGCAGGCTTCTTGTCCTCAAATAAAAGTGCTGCTTCATCTCCAGCAAAGGGAATTAAATTAATAAACTGCGTAAGGAGCCTAGACCCCCTCCAGCCCCCTGTCAGTCACCCCAGCACCAGTGCCCTCAGCCTCTGCTGATCAACAGCAGCTCCAGCCTGGGGGGCAGGGAGTCTGAAGTCTGCTATTTATATGTCTGTCATTGTTACCCACAGGTGCTTGGTGGGGAGGAGGTCCCGGAAAAGCTTTATGCTTAAACTGAAACTATAATACACCGTTTACTTAGGGACCAAGGAAGGCCATCTAGGGCCCATCTTTTATTTTCTTTTAACTAACATTTTTATGTCAACCATCATATGTAACTCCCCTAATCTTCTGAAGGGACACTTTTTCCCTTCATTTTACAAATGAAGAAACTGAGTCTCAGAGAAGCAAGGTAACTTGACTAAGATCATGCAGGTGTGTCTCCATCCCCACTATATGCTGAAAGTCCCTTTTCATCTTTCCCTTTAAAGGGCTGGTCAGAAAGACTTCTCTGGGTGGGAAGTGTAAGGCCAAATGGCACGAGGCTGCGGAAAGCAATCAGACTCACAGGGTGCATCAGACCGACACTTTCCGGACCACCCAGTTCCGGAAACTGACCTGGGGACTTTCCACCCGGCCTAGCCTTCCCGCCTTTCGAGGGGCGGGACTAACGGCCCCCCACGATACCCGAAGAGCCCACCAAATAAGGAATACCCTGCGCCCTCCCGGATTCACCACACCCCTTTCCCTTCTTCCCCTATAAATTCTGCGCAAACCCTCGCTGGGGCGCGAGTTCCTTTCTGTCGGGCCAGTGAACCTCGCCCAGGAGCGCTCCCAAATAAAGCTTGTTTAAGCTCTCCTCCGTTTCTTGGTGCCGTTCCTTACAGAAAGAATAGGCTATAATCATTGGCCCACTTTTCAAAGGTTATTTTTTATCTGGAGCCGAAGGACCTATTCCCTTTCATCCAGAGGCTGTCTTTTGAGGCCATTCCAGTACCCCTCCCCCACAAAGGCCACTGGCAGCGCTCCAGGCCACGCCAGCCGCTCTTACCTCCAAGTTCCAATAGCACCTAAGCTTGTGCTGATCCTTTGGCTTTTAATTATCAGAATTCCATATAACTTCTCTTTATTATTTAACACTTGATGGTCATTTCATTTTAACAATAGAAACCTTCTAACTGAATATAGTATATCTCCAGCAAATTGTATATACGGTGAGTGTATAGCATGTTAAATGATCACAGACTGAATCCAGCTGTGCCACAGGACCCAGCCCATAAAGAAGAACATGGCCAGACCCCTAAGAGCTTCCCTGTATCCCCTTCCAGCCACTATCTCCCCAACCGAGAATAACCACTCTCTCGACTTATGACGCTACAGATTAGCTTTGCTTCTCTTGGTGCTTTCCGTGAATGCAAATGTAAATGTCATGCAGTACATACCCCTTTGAGCCTGGCTTCTATGCCCAATGTCTG